ATATTACCCTCATTATCACGCGTAAAAAATTCAATGTTTATTAATGAAACATAAATTGTAGTCAGACACGGCCCGCAATTATCACATCATTTACTTCTCGATTTTAGCTCTCTTGCTGGTTGAGGAATTTTGTACACATGACCCTTAATACCTTTTTGCACACGCATTATATTCCTCCAATCCCTTTTGTTATCTGGTTTCAAACATACGGAGGAATTCGTCTCGAATTAGCAGGAAATCCAATACAATTGGACCCGGGAGAAGTTGTCGATGAATCGTGATTCTAGGAAATGCATCATGATACAAACAATCCAAAGAAATGTTGATGACACATTGACCTGGTATAATATTTGTCGGGTTCCCATATTGGTCGTGGATACCAAATTCAAACTAAAAATCAAACATTATGTTAGAAGTTTGACACATTGATAAAAAAATGATCATTGTTTGTTTATGACATTACATAAGTCCGAGGTTGGAGATCTGCCGTTCTTCTGGGTCTGTCTCTGACACAAAAGTGCCATGCCTGGTGCGGGTTAAATTCTTTAAAATGACAAACAAACAATGAAATATCATGTACACTTAAGGAATATAACTTACTTGCATCCGTAAAGGAAGTTGGCCTCGAGGTACTTCATCAATCTTAACAACGATCGCGTCATGAACGCGACTAAAGTTACCTAGCCAGTAATCTTTCACTTTTTCCAGGACATGTTCTTCACTCTTAGAATACGCCACTTCGACGACAAGATTTGGCCAGGGTTCATCCTGAAATTGTGAAAATATGAAATCTTAGTTCTGAAGAGTTCAAAGCCAATAAAATAAGGTACCTGTCCATCACTCCCATTTGGTGGTCGCACTCGTGGTTTTGAAGGGCGAAAACATGCATCCACTTCTTTTCCAGAATTTTCGGCGCGAGTTCCTTAAGAAAAACAAAGTTTTGTTTGATATTGCAAACATAACGATAAGGCTGACAGTTAATTAATTGACATTTACGAATTGCGCCGAGATTCCCGATACTGGCATCAGTTCCAAACACAGGATCGCATTGCCTTAAGAACATATAAGCGATCGCACCAATAAGAGTTTCGTGTGGCTTTGATGGAAGTTCATAAATGATGACTTTATAATCGACCCATTCCCAATAACCACGAACGTTAAACTTGTCCGAACGCTGTTCATATTCATCCAAGGTGACACCAACAGCAAGTGTGTACGGAAGTCTTGATACGAGTACCAAAATTAGCTTTTATCTCACTAGATCATAAAATAGCAAGTCAACTTCAAAACAAGTTAGGAAAGGGACTCACGTTGCTTCTTCCCATTTTGCTTTTGGATTGAAGTCGCCTTTTTCCCACCACAGGGTTCGATAATAATGGTACTCTGGCATTTTTTTTGGAACAACATCAACGGTCTCGCTAAAGAATAGCTCTGGAAATTAACTAAAAGATTAGAGAAATACTAGTTACACGTATTTACTCACATAGTGGTAGCATTTGCTTTACTGATATTGCTAAAAATTCGAACAAAGGAATACCCATCGGAGTTTGTGTATGTTACCATTTTGGTTTTGGAGAAGTCAGTTGCGAGCTAAGGGAGATACTGCTGAGTATTTATATAATAACAAGCAGGTTAAAATCCCGCTCGCAAAGAAAGTTTCAAAACTCATCACGATACACACTTGTCATTCGTTCTTTTCAAGCAACGCTATTAATTCCGTCCTCGTTGCTCCAATCTAACCGGCTTTGAAGAAGTAGGTAACAAGTATGATCGTCCGAGTATTAGAGCTTCTTTTTCAGAAAAACCGAAAGAAAGCGTCTGCGATATATCTTCAATAATACAAAGGGAGAGTGTAAGCAGAGAAGGGAAACTGTACATGAAAACAAGTGGAAACTAAACCTTTCTGTATTTTCTGCATTTTTCGACCGCAAAGTTATCGGACGAGACTGATTCAACAGTAGAAAAGGGAAGATCGAAGTGGGAAATATTATACGCGACATACGGTTAACAAGTGTTTAATTATTTAGTTTTTTACACGGCCAACAAGATAATGTAGAGATAGATTACAATGAGCTCAAAGTTTTCATTCATTGAATGTAAAGTGGATTCACAAACCAGAAATAAATTCATGTTTTGTAATTAATTACGATTTTATTTCGATATCTTTTTAACTCATATTAATATTGACATATTTAATTTTGTTTAATTGGAAGAGGAGTAAACCTTGAGTATAAACTGCGAATTACAAGTTTACTCCAAGAGCGTTTGAGTCACTAAATCATAAGCAACGAGTGGTGTTAATAGTGTAAAGTTGACTTCATTTATAACCAATCGTTGTCTTCTTACCTGAAACTCAATTGACATTTCATAACTATTTCTCGGTTTAGGTAATTCACCTGTAGATAAAAGCTTACTAGAATATTTACTCTCCTTCTCGAGACGTGATAAGGGTTTTACATCATTATGATAGACAGCATCCCATGCGTTATCGCCAGAATTGTCTCTTCAATACACATCTGATTTCTGAGTAAATTTGTGAGTATGAAAGACTTCCGGTACAATAAAGGAAAAAACGCCTCGCATGTTTGATTTTTGTTGACGTGAACGATGTACCGACAGTACAGTCATTTCACGTGACACATTGTTTATCGCACTTATCATTGGTTTTCGATGAATGATTGTCGATGAAATGAACCGGACCCTGCAAAACTATGCTTCCACCATGCAAATTACAATGCACTAATCCTGAATCATGAATAATTCTCAGGCACCGTGCAATACCATTCAAACACTCTAATTTATCCGTCCCTGTCAATCTGTTGATATTTTGATCCAAATAAGACAAAAGACTACCACGGTTAGCATATTGCTGTATTGCATAACAATCATGTAATCTTTTGTTTCTGGGTCTTGTGTCACTCTATAAATACGATATGAGGTTGTTATGCATTTGGCATGATTTCTGAGCTATCAAATAAAAATTATAGCATCAAATTAAATGTCACCGTATTAGTATCAAGCAACAACGAAAGTTATATTTCACGGGGGGAAAAATAAGAAAAACGTATAATGTAGTGAATCAATAATACGAGAGATATATAGCATTAATAAAAAATATAGAAAGTTATATTCATTTGGTTATTCAAAAGGAAAACAGCTGTACTTAATAATTGACACAAAATCAAAAAGGAAAACTTTATTACTCTTGTTTTTATTTCTTAAAAACAAAATGACCAACCCATAAATGACGGGTTGGTATAAAAGCACACTTTGCACCCGGGTGGGCAGAGGCCATAATCTGATCAGGTCTAGACCTGATTTATAGCTATAGCTATAGATATAGATATAGTAATTTTGGAATAATCTGATTTACAGAAAATATATTTGATTAGGAAATACGAGGTTAGTCTCGTTTCCAATAATGGGAAAGTATGAAGTTATCTTCCAATAAAAATTTAGTGGTAACTCGGGTGATGATGGAAATTTACTTTACGCTTAATTTTTATATTTGATTGGCTGGAATGATAAATGTTGTACAGTACAAAAGATGCGTCGCGACACAGACTTTATTTTGGCCTGTGCTTTTTGTTCCTCACAACACGATGCGGAAAATAAAAAACCATCGAAAACAATTCACGAGCCCTCCTACTCCACTACGTAACAGAGAAAAAGAGTGCATACGAGGGATTAAATCTATAAACTCCTCGAGAAGGTCATCCCGCACAGTCCTGGCTGGATAGGGCCATTGTCAATAAGAACGCGAAAACGGCAAAGTTGACATTAAGCGTGAGGTTCATCCAACGAAAAATTCAGAGACGCACCATTCAGTAATATTATGTTACCGTTTGCAATTTTCCTGTTTCATTCGCAAGACGTTCAACTGACTGCTGAAGCAACAAGACACAACAACTACTTTCCTTGGATGTGCATTCTTGACCGCGCCGCGCTTTTCCAAGGAAACTCTTCTCGTGTTGACGGTAACAGCCTTAGCTCAGAGAGCGCCATTTTCCTTGACAAAGTACCATCGACGGATTTCATCCCTCTGACCGCAATACATGGGAGTTGCACGCTGGATACTCTACAAATCTCCCAACGAAAAACTCAACTCAAGAAATATGTGCAAATCATATTATTGCATCACTAAATACACCCCTATCCCTCTGGAACGTGCATCGAGGATATCTTTGAGCGTTGTAATAAATTATCAGCTGAATCACTCCTACATTCAGGAAGTAAAGGCCTTATTTACAAATGAAGAATGGAAAGAAATATGCAGTGAAATCAGAAAGTTACCATTTGAAACCCCTTACAAAGGTAAATACTAAGCACAACTAGATGGTTCTGCAAGTGAAACACTGTAAATCAGGTCAAAAACCGGCTAAGGGTCCTCGGCGCTGAGAAATTCTTCGATGGATCCTTTGCCATACTCTCCGCTAGATTCTTCTTTATCTCTATCATGGACTTCCTCAAACGGTACTTCTGCAAAATTCAGAGTTTCACCTCTGAATTTTGTGGAATCAAAAATAAAACCATTGGAACATTTCTGTGCTCGATAATATC